TCTCATTTCTTTACCAGCTTACCATAACAATCCTCTTTTCTTTTTTGAGACAGTCTTGCTCTTATCGCCCAGGCTAGAGTGCTAGAGTGCAATGGCACGATCTCGGCTCACCATAATCCCTGCCTCCTGGGTTCAAGTGATTCTCCTGCCTCAGCCTCCTGAGTAGCTGAGATTGCAGGCATCTGCCACCATGTCCAGCTAATTTTTGTAATTTTTTAGTAGAGACAGGGTTTCGCCATGTTGGCCAGGCTGGTCTCAAACTCCTGACCTTGTGATCCGTCCGTCTTAGCTCCCAAAGTGCTGGGATTACAGGCATGAGCCACCGTGCCCAGCCACCATAACGATATCATAAATGGTCTCCTGTTTCCAAGTCTGACCTCCACTGATCCCTTGATCAACGGGAAACTGTTGCTTCCCAAGAATGACTTCTGCTCCCCAAGACTTCCCGATGTGCAGCCTCACCACTCACTACTCCCTTCCCCAACACAACTATCAATTAACTTGTGTCCATTTCTTTGCATCACATTTTTTTCCTTCTTTAGTTTAAATTTTCTCACCCCCCATTCATCCCTCTAAGAATCAAGCATCACAGTCACAAAAAAGACTTGTCTTCTCCACAGGTGAATATTAGCACCCTTCTTACAGTTTCACACTATATCAGACAGAGTACATCTGAGTGCTACAGAAGGAATCGAGCCCAGAAGGAAAACGTACAATTGCAGTTGAGAGAGAAGGAGAGGTAACTCTAGGAGTGGATTCCTGGATAAAAATAGAAGTACCAGGTCCAGAGCATGCAGGCAAGGATCCGCCTTTAGTGAGAGCAGGGCTTTTCTTCTCTTGTAGTGAAAGATGCACAGAAAATACAGATTCAGATGCTGTTGGTTTGCAGGTGTGATGCTGGGTAGGCGTGGGAGCTTCTGTATAATCATGTAACTGTTTTCTCATTAAGAAATAAGGTGAGGTTATCATTAGAGTCTTGGGTAAATGGAACAGGAAGATTGTGAAGGTTTGAGAAGGGAAGATAGAAACAAATATCAGAAATAGAGACAGCTAAATTTGCAAGGGAAATCTAATAACACTGTTGAGAAAAAAAGTTATGTCAGTGGGTGTATGAATTTAAAGTGACATTAGTCAGTGTCCTTGTAAGGACCTTCCTGCAAACAAAAATGATCAGCTGCTTAATATTGTGGTGCAAATATAGAGAAAGCAAAGAGATGAGCTTAATAAGGGTTTCTGGACCTATTCCTGGTGAGCAAGACAGCACAAACTATACTGGGCATTGTTCTAGGGACAGGGGTACAGCAAGAAGCAAAGCAAAACTACCTTCTTAATGAAGCTTAGATTATGGAGGGACAAATAAATGATGCAGTTCCAGACAGTGATAAGCATTATGAAGAACATAAAGCTGGATGGCGGTCAAAACAATTTTTGAGTGAGTATATTCTCAATTCTACCAAGGAGGGTACATATCGAGCACCTTTACAAACAATGAATGCCTTACAACAGCAGGGCTAAATTCTCTAAATCTGCCTATTCTAGAGCAGAGTTGACAGCTGTTCCCAGTGAGGAGATGTTTAAACAGAGACCATGAAATCTTGGCTTCAGCAGAACTAGGAAGATAGGGAGGGAAAAGTGAATGGGTTGCAGGGCTAGATGAATTCCATAAGATTCTTAGACTGTGGGCCACAGACCACACAACAGCTGAATTACAAGGATAAGAGATGTTTCTATTATACAGATGGAGCTAATGCAATAAAGATATTTGGGCAGTATTGGGAATAGCTTCTTGAATTGTTGAAGAGATTTTAGGGTTTCAGGATGAGGCACATTAAAAAAGACTGCTTGTATATATAAAACTATAATCATACCCATATAAATGAATTTAAGCACAGAGGCTGATGTAAGAATACTATTATTGATAAAAGCCTAATTATAAGCAAAGATTTGGCATTTATTTGTGCTAAGATGGTATTTAGTTTATAATTTTAATTTTGGAATCGTTTCCTGATGGACTAGAAGAAACATGGGGCAAAGGAATTGGCTATATTCTTAAAATTTTATTTTATTTTAGTTTTTTTTTTAGAGACAGAGTCTTGCTCTGTTGGTCAGACTGGAATGCAGTGGCACTCACCGCAACCTCTGCCTCCCAGGTTCAAGTGATTCTCATGCCTCAGCCTCCTGAGTAGCTGAGATTACAAGCATACACCACCACACCAGCTAATTTTTGTATTTTTAGTAGAGATGGGGTTTCACCATATTGGTCTGGCTGGTCTCGAACACCTGGCCTCATGTGATCTGCTCACCTCAGCCTCTCAAAGTGCTGGGATTATAGGCATGAACCATATGCCTGGCCTTACAATTTTATTTTAAGGGAAATAATAGGGTTGGGCTTTGTGTCCCCACCCAAATCTCATCTTGAACTATAATGCCCATAATCACCATGTGTCAAGGGAGAGACCAGGTGGATGAAATGGAATCATGGGGGCGGTTTCCTCCATGCTGTTCTTATGATAGCGAGTGAGTTCTCATGAGATCTAATGGTTTTATAAGGGGCTCTTCCCTCTCCATTCAGCATTTCTCCTTCCTGCTGCCTTGTTAAGAAGATGCCTTCTTCCCCTTCACCTTCCACCATGATTGTTAGTTTCCTGAGGCCTCCCCCAGACATGCTGAACTGTGAGTCAATTAAACTTCTTTTCTTTATAGATTACCCCATCTCTGGCAGTTCTTTATAGCAGTATGAAAATGGACTAGTACAGGAAACATATTTTGAACTCCATTGTTTCCCTACATGTTATTGAAAACAGCTTTGAGAGTGACTATATTTAAAGCTAGACTTTTATTCTTTCATATTTTTGACATGCTTGATCTATACACATTTCATGTATATAGATTTCTTCAAAGAATTTTCTGTTGTTGTTTATGTTGTTATCACCTGTCTTCCAGGTAATGCAGAATGTAAGGTCCATTAAGATATACATTTTCTTATTCACTGCTGCAAATCATACCCAACAGAATACCTGGACATATTGAAAGCATTAAAATAATTTTTAAATGAACGAATAAACATAGAAAACTCAAACAGATGCAGAGAAGAAATAAAAAGGCAGCTGAAAGTGGTGGAAGAGGAGCCATGAAGACTCATCTTGTTTTAACTTAATGGCAAAAAGTGAAGCATTTCCTACTTATAAAGTACATGGGTTAGTATCCTTACAACATTATTTTCACTTAACATGGAGAAGTTTAAAAAATGTTAATAACTGAGTTTAATAATAAGGGGATTAAAAGATCTTTCTGTAAGATTGTTAAATTCCAAAGAGATACACATTTAGTATGACCGGGCAATCCTGTCTTTCCTACCAGTGAACTACTACACAAATCCTAAACACCTCTAACTGCCTTTTAAATCATTCTAAAGGACCATCAGAGATATCATGCTTGGCTGATCATCTGTGTTTTGAAAGCACAATTCCTAAATTCCAAATATGTTGCAAAATATAATTTCACTATTCAGTATAGAAAACACTAGTCTCAATGCCTGATCTATAAAATGCATATTCAAAATATTATATAATAAATCATATATAATGTGATCAAGAATATGAGTGACACTTATTTACATTTTGGATGTGAAATCCAGCAAATTGCTTGACTGCTTTTTTGAATAAATCCTAGGATTAAAGATTCCTTTCTTCTCATAAGACAAAAATGAATATTCTGTGCTTTTACCTATATTATTTCCTGTTACATTTTTTAAAAATATGCTACACATTCTTGATTCCAAAACCCCACTAGATGGAAAAAGCAAGATTCACTTTCATTCACTACTAAGAGTGGAATGAGTTTACAGTGTTCCCTAATATTTAACCTCTAAAGGACTAATGATTTCGGTCAAAGGATTCTTTAAGAATCAATGAGTAGATTTTCTACTCTGAGTTATGAGGACCTCAGAATTTGAAAATGATATTCACCTTGATTTATGAGTTTCACCAGAGTTCTGTTTCAATCTTCACAATTATCTTAAATGATTAAATAATATTTTCCCATTTAAAAAAAAAACAACTGTGCCTAACATGTAACCGAATAGTAGTATGACTAATTCATTGTAAATCATCATTAATGTTACTTGAACAACCTGTAACAACCGATAAAGTATGGAGCCAATCTTCAGAGTGTTCTTGGCCTCAGTCTCAAGCCATGTCAGCCTCTAGGAGAATTCCTGAAACAGCAAGAACTTTCCCAGAGCATGGCATGATATAAATCTGATCTTTAGAAGAGATAGAACATTCCAAAGTTGAAATATTTTGAGTAGTAAATGCTTTGATATAATTATAAGTTTCAGTGACTTCAAACATCAAGACTTTTAATAGATGTTTTTCCTTTTAACATTTTTGTTTATTATCTTCTAAAATTTTCCATCCCTGCTTATCTCCTAGAAATGCAGGATGAGTCCATGAGATAATATTTAGAAAGTTTTTAAGCTCTCTGAAAGAAAGGTGTTGAATATCCAGAGGTATTAGTGTATCCCATTTAAAAATAGCAAATAATGCTCTGAAGATCTAAAGAACATCAATGCATTTTATTCTTTGGGTACAATGTTTTGACAAGCCAAATAAATACCAGGTTGAAATGAGGTCATTAGCACAATTAAAACACAAAAGAATACGATCTAATTTTCTACCACAAAAAGCACAGAATTTTAAATATCTTTTCAAAAATGAGCTACTTTAACTAATATCTATTGTATTTACTGTCATGCAAACAAACAATAATAATGAGCAAAATAGCATGTTTAGCAAATTGCTAAACATCCACAAAATAGCATGTTTAGCAAATTGTTAGCCTCTTACAACTCTGTGACTCATAATTCAACTTAATCTGTTTTTCTGTAATGTCAAAATAAGCCCTTTTAAAGCAATACACATTTTTAAACAATGCCTTGTACCTTTTTTTCTTTTCTGCTGAAAGAGGAGAAAAACATAACACATCTCTTTGGAATTTACCTTGACTAATAAATTGTTCCATGTTTTCTTTGAAAGGCTGCATATGCTCTTTTGAGGAGACCTGGTATACTTTCCCTGCTTCAACTTCACAGGCTGAAATGAGAGAGAACATTATTTAAAGTGTCACATTGTTAGTGGAGCATTAAGACAATTTTTAAAACATCTTAGCTAATGTTAGAAAACTCTATTAACTTCCCTAATCAGCGTATGTTTTATACTCATTTGGAGACACCCAAATGTGGACATGAGAAGCCAGTGACCAATGCTTCCTTTTAGAGGGCTGTAAAAAGAAACTGTGCAGAATTTATAATCTCAGTTAGATTATTTCCAAACCAATCAGCTGGGCATGTTATATAAGCACTAAACCTCAGTCTCTTCATCTATAAAATGGGCATGATAGCAAAGCCTGCCTCACAGTGCAGTTATAAGGATTACGTCTGTTAAGAGACGTCAAGTGTTAGAATGATGCTTGGCACAGAGTAAAGCAATAGGTAACTATTTTCTATCAGCATCATCAACATTATTATCAACTGACTTCTAAAAGAAGTTTATTCCTAACTAAAGTCCAAATTTCTGAAAAAAAAAAAAATAACATGGGTGGTATTGTTAGTACAGCATCCAATAATTTTGGAGCATATATTACATGTCAGATCATTTTATCCATTATTTAATGTAATCCGTAGAATTAAGCCCATAACGTAGTCATTATTACCTCCTTTTACAGCTGAGGAAGTTCAGGCTCCAATAAAGCCACACAGACAAGTAGCAGATTCATAACTAAAATCCTGATCTAACATCAAAGTTATCCTCTTTTCATGCCTGTGGCATCGTAAATATCTCAGGTAGTCTACAGATTCCACTTGGGTTAATATTAAGAAGTACGTCTAAGAAGATGTCTGAAGAAATGCCTGCCATTACGGTGATAGCAAGAAACCAGAGCCAGTAAGAAAATAATTCAACAATGAAAAGTATATTTTTAAAGACAAAACTTTGGATAGAACACATCTGATACAAAAACAAGCAAACAAAAAAACCAAAAAACTTCTCACTACACTTCTTAAAGTAAGGTTGCCATTTCTCCCAAAAGAATTTGTCATTGCATTTCTAACATATTTTCTTTCTTTTATAAAGCTGTAGTTTCCTCTTTTTTCCCTCCAGTTCATCAGCTTATCTAAGCACGGGAATATAGGAGGGCCATGTTATTAGCGTACCTTCTTCCCATCAAATGTACATGACTTTGGGCTTAGTATAATCTAAGACCAGTGTAGGCAGATCCAGGGTTCTTTCTGCCTGTCTGCTTCTCACTCCTCACCTGTGCCAGGTAACCTCTTGCAGGTTGGGTGATGGAGAATTTCTAACCCGTACCCATAGCCCATGTATTTCATAGCTCCAGATTCAACATATGAAACTTCCACGAACACGGAATTCCTCACAGACTTCTCTAAACTTGGCACCTCCTTTATTCTCCCTTCACTGGTGGAGCTAACACCTAACCTAAATAACTTAAGCCAAGCAGGAGAGTTCTTCTCAACTACCTCTCTTTATTCCAACATCCTGTTGTTTTTACCTCCATTCTTTAGTTGGCCCCATCTTTTCCATTCCTGTTCTATTCTGGTACAAATGCCCTCACTGTTCCTCCTGAGTCTACCGTCAAAACCTGTTATCTTGGCTTCCCATCTCCAATCCTCCACATAGCCATGCTCCTCCTCGTAGCCTGAAAAGCCATTCAGAAGACCCATCCACTTCACCAAAAACTGTTCAATGACCTCTGCACTCACAGCCACACCCTGAATACAAGAAGAACTGCAAAGCCTACACCATGACATGTAGCACTTGTGACAATGTAGGCCTTGCCAAATTTCAAACCATCCGTCTCTCTCTAGTCCCGAAATCTTCCGCAGACTCAACGCAAATTCTAATCTCTAGATGTAACTGCCCCTGGAAAGCATTCCCGGACCTCCCCACAGGGCCTGCTTTCCTCCATCCTCTGCCACTTGTCTCCAAGCAGGACGTGGCATCCCTCTTCAGTGTTTCGGTGTTTCCAGGGCATCTTGTGCAACAGAGTTAAAGCTGTCATGTACTGAGTACTTTCTATGTGTCAGGAATAGTATTAAGCATGCTCCATGTACTGTCCCATTCAACCCTTACAAAATCATTTGAAGTAGATGAATATGCTCAGTTTACATCAGAGAAAAATGAACTACAAAGAGACTGCCCACATTTATACAGTTCACAAGTTGAGGAGGTGGTATTCAATATCAATCACCACACGATATTAAAGTTATTTGTAACTGTGTGTCTTCTGTCCCACTAGACTGAGCTACTTGAAAGGAAATCCATCTTATTTCCATTTGTATGTGAGTGTCTGACTAAGGGAACAAATTGCTGTTGGATGGGTTAGTGGCTGGATAGTTACTTAAGTGGAAATAACACTCTAGATGTTGGAATCTAGCAGACAGGGTTTAAATTCTAGCTCACCCATCCACTGAATGTGCCTTATGATTTGGGGCTAATTACCTAACCTTTTCAGATCTTAGTAGCATCATCTGGTTGTGAGTTTAACAAGATCTAACACGAGTGTGATGATTAGCCACAATGAGTATAAAATACCTGAAACTCACTTTGTGCTAGCTAAGTACATGCATATAAAACAATAGCTATTGGCTACTATTGTTTTTATAAGACCAACTGGAGTTCAGACTAAAGAAGTGTAAGATAAAATACAGTAGCTGTTTACAAAGAGCTGAAGTACGGTCTCATGGATGACTGGGTGTTGACACTCTCCGTGTTGATCTCAAGGAAAGAGGAAGCTGAATGAGCAGAAGTTAGAGATGTCAGTTCTATGTAAAAGGGATGGCTAATGTTTAGGGAACTCCTACAGTGACATAACCTGCCTTCTGACGGGGTGAGCATTTTGTTACTGGGACTATTCAGAAACTAGCTGGCTCCTTATCAGAAATGTAGAAAGGGGTGGGTCAGGTGGCAAGACATATATAGTCAACTTCGTGTAGGTGGTATCACTTATGACAGCCTCATGTAGCCGGAAATTCTGCTTTTTAACAATGTTTCCAGGTGCATATTAAGGATATACTTAACTAATGTTATAAATTTGAGAGTTTCCTAAAAATGAGTAAGGATTCTGAATATACGGAAGACAAGTTATATCACTTAAAGGAAATGAAGCCGAGATTTAACAGCCCTTCTTACCATTTCAGCAAATTTCTAGCAATGTCAGGTGACACAGTGTTCCCAAAAGTCTTTGAGCAGTTCTTTTTTTTTTTTTTTTTTTTTGAGAGAGAGTCTTGCTCTGTTGCCCAGGCTGGAGTGCAGTGGTGTGATCTTAGCTCACCACAACCTCCGTCTCCTGGTTCAAACAATTCTCGTGCCTCAGCCTCCTGGGTAGTTGCAATTACAGGTACCTGCTATCATGTACTGTTCATTTTTGTATTTTTAATAGAGACAGGGTTTCATCATGTTGCCCAGGCTGTTCTTGAACTCCTGACCTCAGGTGATCCACGCGCTTTGGCCTGCCAAAGTGCTGGGATTACCACTGGCGTCTGAGCAGTTTCTAATGTACACATGACCCAGATATCGATCAACTATCTACTGATTCAAGGGACTGCTCTAGGCGCTGTGATGACTGCTATGAACCGAACTGACAAAAGCCCTGTCCTCAGGGAGCTTGTCTTCTACTATATTACAATCTTCAAGTAACGACTTTTTAATCCCAGTGACTTTTTAATTCCTAATAGGAAAGTAAAATCCTACTAGCCTCATGTCCAATAACATAGGCTAGCATGAAAAAAAAATCTAACTCTCAAATCCTATTAGCCTCATGTCCAATAACATAGGCTAGCACGAAAAAAAAAAATCTAACTCTCACCTTGACTCACTTGCAAAACCTAAAAGCCAGAGGAAAGGAAGGCTAATATTTTAATTATTCGTTACAATTATTTCATTTCCCATTCTTAAGTTAAAAAAAAAAGAATTAATAACTGTCCTTTTCTTCATGACACCATACAGTGTCTTGGGGTCTAGGGTGCTGTATGAACATTCTAACACTAGAAACTTGCAGAATCATCTACTACGTCTGGTGACTTAAAAAGGGACTTCATTAGCTGGGGAAGAAGGGAAAGATCACAGACTGGCTGTGACAAAGTCTTCTAAATGGTGACAACCATCCTCTAGATCTTCATTTTTACTCTAAACAATAGAACATTCAACAAATAAGAAGATGGATGCTGTAATAATTTTCCTTATTTTTTTTGCAACAAAAGCCAAAATAGACAAATGGGACCTAATCAAACTCCACAGCTTCTGCACAGCAAAAGAAACAATCATTAGAGTGAATCGGCATCCAACAGATTGGGAAAAAATTTTTGCAGTTTACCCATCTGACAAAGGGCTGATATCCAGAATTTACAAAGAACTAAAA